GACAGCCTCACCCCCCCCCCCAAAGGTCCAGCCAAGTCCTTCTCCCCCCAATGTCACTCACATCAGCTGCTCCCATTGGTCACCTGGACCTGGGATGCTCTGGGGATGGGCTGTGAATTCCCTTAGTTCTGGCCAGCCTCACCCCCCCCCAAAGGTCCAGCCAAGTCCTTCTCCCCCCAATGTCACTCACATCAGCTGCTCCCATTGGTCACCTGGACCTGGGATGCTCTGGGGATGGGCTGTGAATTCCCTTAGTGAGGTTCCTTTCTTATTTTGGGGGGCACCATAGTCACCACCCTCAAAGGGACCCCATCTCCAGCCATGGACCTCTGGTGGGAATGGCCCAGTCCTGAGCCATGATGTGCCCCCCTAAAGGGCTTGAACCCCAAGTCCTCTCTACCCCAGTGCAGAATGCCCCTCACCCCAAGCCTCTTCTGTTCAGTCCCGGCTGAGCTTAGGTCTAGTCTGCCCCAGAAAGACATGGGCAGGATGGGCAGCTGTGCCTAGACGCTGACCCCCTCCCCATCCTGCATGGTGCAGCCGGCACTGCAGGTTGTCTCGGCCCCTCTGAGCTGCCGAGTACCCAGGGCTTCTGGCTGCTCTGGGCCCACAATGCCAAGGCCAGCATGTGGCTGAGATGGAGTCGGGCAGACCAGCAGCGGGTTCCTAGGATGTCTGGCTCTCGACACGAGTGGGGTGGGGGCCCCTCTAGGCCAGCTGACTTACGAGCCCCTGGGGGGCCTTGCTGTGTCCTCAGCCAAACAGGAAGGCCGGACCTGCGAATACAACGGGCGGATCTACCAGAACGGGGAGAACTTCCAGCCAAGCTGCAAGCACCAGTGCAGCTGCATTGATGGTGCCGTGGGCTGCCTGCCCCTCTGTCCCCTGGAGTTGCCGCTGGCCTCCCTCCACTGCCCTGACCCACACCTGCTCCAAGTGCCAGGCCAGTGCTGCAAGAAGTTTGTGTGCAGCAAGGGGTCCAAGCGGTTCGGGGAGGTCTCCTTCGAGGGTGGGGAGACCAACAGCAATGAGCTTGTCTATGTGGGCAAGGACAGCCACTGGAAGAACCTGCCGGGTGAGTGCATGAGGGGCTGGGCACCAGATAAAGGGCTGGGGAGGGGTTCGAGTCCTGCCCACCTTGGACACCAGGATGAGCCGCTGGAGCTAGGCAGGAAGTGGTGGGGGCAGTGAGAACCTCTGGGCTACGTCTAGACTGGCATGATTTTCCGGAAATGCTTTTAATGGAAAAGTTTTCCGTTAAAAGCATTTTCGGAAAAGCGCGTCTAGATTGGCAGGTCGCTTTTCCACAAAAGCACTTTTTGCAGAAAAGCGTCCGTGGCCAATCTAGACGCGCTCTCTGCAAAAAAGCCCCGATCGCCTTTTTTGTGGAAAACAAATCTCTGCTGTCTACACTGGCCCTTGTGTGCAAAAGTTTTTCGGAAAAAGACTTTTGCCCGAACGGGAGCAGCATAGTATTTCCGCAAAAACACTGACAATCTTACATGAGATCGTCAGTGCTTTTGCGGACATTCAAGCGGCCAGTGTAGACAGCTGGCAAGTTTTTCCGGAAAAAGTGGCCAGTCTAGACACAGCCCTGCTGTATAAAGGTACAGGCAGCAGCTAGTGCCAAACTCAAGTCTGATGCACCCTCCTTGGGGGGGTGGCTAGCAATGCCCCCTCCCCCCACACTGGCCAACTCCTCCTCTGTCTCACTCTCTCTCCCACCTGTACAAAGCTTCCTTAGCTGGCAACAGGGCTCTGCAATCATGGGGGAGAGCGGATCAAGGCACAGCCAGAGCCTGTTGCGCTGTGACTGTCTCTGCTCCCCAGGGCCCAGAGGGGCCAGAGTGTAAATCAGAGCAGTCTCTAGGCTGCTCTAAGTGCACCTCCAGGGCTGGACTGGAGGCTCTCTGGGCCTCCAGCCCTAGCCTCCTTGCAGGGATTAGGTATGTGTATCTGCACCCATCTAATGTGGGACCCTGCTGGCCACACTGGTCATAGAGCTGGAGGCTAGTCCCTGCCCCAAATTGTTGACCATCAGCTGCTGGAGAGCTCAAGCAGCTGGGTGCTGATGTTGACATCTGAAGGGTTTGGGTCACAGCTGCCTGGCGAAGTTAGTGGGGAGGGGAGAGGAAGGGAGGGGAGTGGAGCATGGCACCCTTTGGAGAGGCATGTGGTGCCTTTTCAAGTGGATTATGCAATTGACAGATGTCAGCCCCCCAGATTTCATATGGGGCTGGAGAGTGTGCTTGCCTAGCAGTGACAGCAGCTGGGTCCAGGCATGGGCTCCACTCCCAGTGTGATGTGGTGCCCAGGGGCTGGTGGGCACAGTGCCACTTGCTCAGATTGGGCCTACCTGCCCCATCATCAGGACAGGGCTGGTGGGGCCAAACCTGCCTGGCACTGTGCCCCTGCATGCCAGGTTGCAACACAGGGAGCTGGGCCCAGCTGCATGGGCAGGAGCTGCTGCTGCTGTGTGAGCATGGGGTGGGCTGGCTCTCCAGCTTGGCCGCTACCTGACAAGTGGCTCAACAGGCCACCAGCTGAACCCCACCCCCACATGCAAGAGAGTAGCGGCAGAAGCTGAGTGACTGGCAAAATCCAGGGGTCCCTGGGGCAGTGCAGGACTGGCAGCTGTGACAGGGCCATGAGCAGGTGGCACCTCCAACCTGACCTGCTGATGGGAGCCGCTCCAGAGGCAGGAATGGGCCCGTATAGAACCAGAAGAGGCTAAGCGGTTCACCCACGGGGGCCTCC